TATATAAACTATATTTCTCAAATTCAATGCATATATATATTATATACTGGACTCGTTTTATATTTTTGTTATCTTTACATCGCTAAACAATTATAATGGTTCATTCCATAGATTGAATACTGTTGTATGGTATGTACTGTAGGCGGCTAATGATGGTTGTGTTTCTTCAAAGTTAGTTCTTGTTTAAATCCAGGTATGCACATTGTTATGTAACTATGCATTGATATTGTAATGTTAGGTAATATTGTTAAATGATTAATTGATGTAATGGTATCGTGTAGTAATGCGGTACATGAGTTACAATGCTTGATGCAATAATGATGTATGTATTGAAACTGTAATTCTGCTGACGTCTTACAGGGTTTTTTTTTTGTTTGTTGTGTCAATGTGTACACATCGACAGATGACAGATACACACATAGAACACAAGCACAAAACATACAATCATAGGCCTACATCCCTGCAGTTACACCCACCAACACACCTGAACAGCACACTTGTGCAAATTAAAATTTAAAACGTAAGAAAAGATTAATTGTTTTTTCTTAAAAGTATAAATGGATTTAGAATTTTGCAAAACAGAGTGAAATGAGTTCTATAATTTTGGTTCAACGAAAGAAATACAAAAATGAGTATTAAAAAGATGTTTAGGTGTAGATCTATTATGGCTTCTGCTTCTAGTATTATATAAATGTATTGGGTCGTGATCTGTCCTCAGTCTTGAAGACGGTACCATTGTGTTTAATAAATGTATACGTAATGATTCCAATTTGAACCATGAAATATTTTACGTTGATGACATGTTCTATAATCTATGGATGCTCAAATTTGTACACAAAACTATATTTTTGTCACAATAACTTTGTGGAAGTGAATGGAACATTCACGAAACGTAGTATGCGAGTAAGAATTACAACTGTTTACTATGATCAACGGAAAACGAAATATACTATAAATTTTCAAATTATGTTCAGAATAAACATAAATATTGATAAATATTGATTTGGATCCAAATGAATTTATTAAAAAATAATTTTAAGATTGATGGTTACATACGTCTATATTCATTCCATTTTATTCAGAAAGTAAAACCAAAAGTAAATATACAATCCATATAACGATATACGGTATAACAATATTTCTTACTGCGCAGTAGGACGGCCGAGAACGTCGACCGACAAATCCTGGCAACTCCGCTCCTTGTCAGCACTAGTGCGACACAACGCTGATTGTCGGTTGCAGTTTGAACGAATCGTCATTAAAAACGATCCGTTGCGCGCGCCTCGTGGTGTTGCATGCTGCGTAGAATCGTGTCGGCCGACGACCGCTGAGGGCAGTAAATGCAGGCTTTGTTATACCAGGTGCAACACACAGCATTACCAAGTGTATCCTCCTAGGATGTTAAAGCTACCTTCACATCAAGCCCGGATCCGTTCCGGAGCCCGGACAAAAAATCGTGAGTTTGTATGTTTTCTGAACTCATAAAACTTGTTTGTTTAATCTAAATATATACACGGTACCATTATATTCAGTTTAGAAAATTATAACAATATTAATAATTATTATAATTAACACTATAACTATAATTATCATTATTATCAAAATCCTTTCCGTTCGTTCGTAGACCCATAATGGTCAAGGACATTTATTGTATTTTAGGCCTCCGACCACTTTACATAACAAAGTAGTAACATTTAGGGAACGGAACAAAGTAAATCTTGTCTTCTTATATAAGCTAAATACAGATATTTCGATAAACTATATAAAACATTACGATTATTTGATGACACAAGCGATGAAACATAAAAGTGTTGGATAAAAGTAAGATGGAATTAGGTTTTTCCTAATATCATTAAAATGTAAACATATCACTTATCATTTATTCTTTACCGTTTGTATTGTCATTGTTCTTGTCGTTGTCATTTTCATTATAATTATCATATTATCTTTACCTAGCTTCAATATTCACTTTACGCAGCAGGACGGAAAGACGGGTAGGGGTGGTTCTGTGCTCATCAGAGCGTGAGACCACAGTAAAAACTTTGGCACTTAACCCGAATTGGCGTAGTCGACGGCTCCCTGACCTCTTGCGTAAAGTGCCTAATAATGCACTTTAATAACAACCTAACCCATAAAACCTCCCAACAAATTAACATTTATTCACTTCTCATGATCATGGTCATATCAATTATACAAAAACTTTTGATAAACTTTTAAACGATAAGTGAAGTAGGCCTATTAATAAAACAAAAGTCATCAAGGCTCAAAATGAAAGCTTTTCACAGAAACTATAAAGCAAAGGGGAACAAAAATTCAATATTCAAATTATTGTGCGGTAAACAGTAAACGGAAAACAGCATATCCTGTATACCGTACATATTATTTGTAAGTTATTTTATTTCTTTATATTTGTTTTTATTATTTTATATCATATATATATATATATATATGCTATATTATATATAT